AGACTTTTCTTTTTGCTGAGACATTCAAGTTTCAACCATCTTCATAATAGCTTATTGAAGCATTTTTACCATGGATGATTAAAAATCTCTCTCAGATAATTCTGCCTTCTCTGTCCCCTTAGTGCTGGCGTACATTACCTGGCTCCTCCTTATTGTTGGATGAGAATGGAAGTCCTGAATCCCATGTGGTCTCCTCTGACATTGGGCCTGTAACCATTGGTAGCGATGAGAGTCCTGACTCTTCACAAGACCTCCTCTGATAGCCTAGCAGGGATGGGGAGAGGCACATAGGTAATTTTGGGTAGGGGTGTCCTGTGTTTGAGTGTATCCTCCAAAGTTCATGTGTTAGAAACTCCATCCCCAATGTGGCAGTATTGAAAGGAGGGGCCTAGTGAGATCACAAGGCTCTCCCTCACAAATTGGATTAATGTTGCTATTACAGGAGTGGGTGAGTTATTTGTTTTAAAAACAAGTTGACCCTACTTTTGTTCTTTTGTTTTCACCATGTTTTGCCCTTCTACCTTCTGCCATGGAATGACGCAGCACAAAGGCCCTCACCAGATGCTGGGACCTTGATATTGGACTTTCTAGCCTCAAAAACTATGAAATAAATAAATTTCTGTTCATTATAAATTACTCAGGCTGTGGTATTGTGTTATAGCACACAAAATGGACTTAACTCCCTGATATTGCCCGGGAATGTAGCTCATTACCAGCTGTCTGGGATGAAAGGCTCATGTCCTCTCTTGGCCTTCTTTGATATCAGTCTGACATGAACATTGAGGCTTCTTATTCTGCATCCTTGAAGGTGGAAGTTTCGGCTCTTGACTTAAGCTCTCCTGGTGTGGGTGTGGGTGAGGCCACCATTTTTTTTTTACTAGTGTAGAGTGGTTGTTTAAGAGTTTCGTACCTTGACCAAGAGATGAAGGGAGGGAGTAGACGGGGAAGTGAAAAGAATTAAAGTGTTAGGCACATGTACCGATTCCCCATGGTGAATGTAGTCATTATGTAATGCAAATGTGTACTAATTGAAAAAAGGAACAAAGACATCAAGAAAGAGAAAATGTCAATATCCAAAGTCTGGTCTAGATCTGTTTATTTTCTTTTTTCTATTTGACACCTGTTTTATAGTTCTATCTCATCAATGAGACCATTATGAAATGTAAAGAGAAGACAGAAGAATAAAGAATAAAAGGGTGTGGGAGTTTCCTGCCTTGCTAGATGCCTCTTTCCTGGTATTTTGACGGGAGAGAGCAGGCTTTTGTTGGGCTTCTGTGTTTCTTTGACTGCACCTGTGTTTCTAGGCTAATTTCTCTAGCCACTTCATCCCCTTAGTGTTTCATGCTTGTGATTCTATAGGACTACTTAGCCCCTAATGAACCTTGCAGACAATCTCTGGTTTCTTCAACCCATTCTCTATACTTCTGCAAGGGTTTTCTTTCTAGAAAGCAGAACTGGCCATGTTACTGTCCTACCGATATTATTTATTACCCATAAAAATCAAGTTCAGGCTCCATAAGGCAGTATAGATCCTCCAATTCCAATTTTGCAATTCCATCAGCAACTTTTGTTGAGTCCCTTTTTCTACTCCTTTGCTTCAGATATGCCATATGCTTTAGCTCATGTTCTTCCTTCTATCTTCAGTGTCTTTCTTTACTCTTGGAAAGAATAGTTTAGAAGTTAAGTCACTGGAGATGGGAGGCCTACACTTAAATTCCAGCTTCAACGTTTTCTAGCTGGGTGATCTTGGGAAGCTTTACCTCTCCACACCATGGTCTTCTCATCTTAAAAATGACAGTAGTATCACCTGCCTTACAGGATAGTCATGAGGCTTAAATTAAATATTCTTCATAAATCTTTCAGCAAATTTCATGGTTTTAAAGGAAGGTTTCAGTAAATGTGAGCTGTTGGTATAATTAGTAATTAATTAATACTGTGTAGTTCAGCATTCAGTTTGAATGTTACCCTCTATGAAGTCTTTATGGGTTCTCCCCATTGCTGCCCTGTTATTGAATTAATTACTTATTTCCAAATGGCCCTACACCACTTAATTTACATTGTCTTTATTTTGTTTGTATGTAACTAGGTTGCAGATCTCTTTCACTGTTCACATTTATTCTTTCCTAGATTCATTCATTCAAAGGAAGCACTTTCTGTGAGTCAAGCATTGGACGCAGAGGTGACTCAGTCATGGACTTTTCTTTAGGGCATTCTTGGCTAGCAGCAGAATGCTTTACTAAATAAATGGCTCTAGTGGGATTTACTAAATATTTGTCAGCTTAGGAAGATGAGCAGGCCCTACCTTGGGATGGAAAGGCAGCCTGACTCCAGGCTGGAAAAATACTACAAATTTAGAATCTTTTGGTAAACTATTCCTAATACTGACCTCTATCTAATTCTATATGAGGGCCCTAGTTTTGTGCTGTAACAGCACTGGGATGCCCATGATCTGTGGCATGATGTGAGTCTTGTCTGGAGCTACACCATGTGCAATCCACAGTTTTTAAATCAGCTTTTACATTCAAACCAAGGCAAAGCTCTTGTCAGTGTCTCTGGAGCTACATAAACACCACTGATGATTGATTCTGTTTTAAACCCTGTATCTGGCATTCTTAGCCCCGCAAACTTTAACTACCACCTTATGATGGTATTTGGTTCAAAGCAGTTATGTACCAGATGGGAGAGAATGGGACATGAGATCCCCAACAACCAGCTCATAGTCTCTATCTTGTAGTAGTCATTGGAAGCATAGACTTGATTGTTTCACCACAGCCACCTTACCAGCAATTAAAGGCGCTCACAAAAGAGGACTTCCAGGACTGCTTCAGAGGGTGACAAGAATGATGGGGTAAATGTATTTGAAGTGAGGGTGTGTATTTTGAGGGAGATTTATGACAACATGTTTTATACTACAATACGTTTTCTTTTTTTTTGTTTGTTGGTACCGGGGATCGAAGTCAGGTCCTTGTGCTTGTGAGGCAGGCAGCAGAACCACTGAGCTAAATCCCCAGCCCTACAATACATTTTCAAATAGAATTAAAGCATTCTCTGTATTTTTTGATCACACCTCCTATGGGGAGATGAGGAGAAAGGTAGAGACTGAAAGAAAGTTTGAGAGAAATATATATATGAAATTTCTATTTGTCCATCCATCTATTCATCTATTGACATTTTTATGGAGATAGAGATCAGTTTAAGAAGGGAAAGTGAGAGAAGGATGAATTATTGATAAACCATGTCCTTTAGGAAGAAGGAGAGAATTATTTGATCAAAGATACAGGTAATAGCTCCTTAAAAGCAAGAGGAAGGAAGGTCGGATGAGATGGAAAGGTGGCAATCTAGAGTTCATGAAAGATAACCTTTTTCTCAGGGAAGTTAAGAAGATGGAGCGGCGAGGATGGAGAAACAGGCTTAAAAAAAAGAGGTAGTGTGGTTTGGTATCTTCTCTCTAGGGAATAATGAAATAAGTAATTGGGATGCCAGGGATACATATAGGGTCTCCTAGCAATATTGATGGCCTTAATTGGTTGAGTTTGTAAATCAGATGTTTGCAGTTATGTAAATATAGCATGTTGTTGTGCAGCTATAGTAGCCAGGTTGCATGGAGGAAAGGTGAATCTTGGATAGGAGTGTTAAACTAGACCACTTGTAAAGAGGATGAAAAGTCTGAGAGGTTGGGGAGTACAATGACTTTGATTCCAGATGTAGTAGCAGTGGGATAGAAAGTTCTGATTGAAGAGTGGGACTTCTCAGACTGAGCATTGTCTCTCTGCATTTATTGTGGGAGGCTCTGTGAACAAAGAAGAATTATGATTTAGTCCCTCCTATTAAGGGGTTCAGAGCCTGGACCTCAGAGATGATCATATCACCTTTGTAAGTAATGGCATGGTCTCTGGGTATAATTTGCTGCAGTGAGTTGGAGGAATGATTGTTGGAGAAAGAAATGATTGTTGAAAGAAAGCCAGTGGCTCACAGACTGTCACACTGGATGTGTTGTCCACAGGTACTTACCAGTCCTGTGGAGAAAATCAGGAGTCCTCTCTGCTCAGTCATTTCTCTGCCACATGTGTGCTCTCCCCACCAGTGTGTTAGAGCTGCTTCTCCAGTGGATCCTGTGTCTCTCAGGCTCCAAGTGGGTGTTCTGTAGATTGGTAGACCAGTGAGTCTCTAAACCTGCTCCTGCACATAGGAACATGAGTCTGTAACAAACTACCAATTTCATGCTTCAAGTTTCCTTTTTCTTTTGCCCTTAATTTCTTGACTAGTGAAAAGGACGTAGAAGCATGCTGCAAACCCTTTGTTGAGCAGAAGCAGCTGAGATGATTATCTATAAAGCTGTAAACAGGCAGGAGTCAGATGCTGCTGGAGCTGGCAGAATGCCATTAGGACAGATGAATGAGTGTGTATGCATGTGGTGGGGCTGCTCCAGGAGCTCCATAACTGATCTCATTCTTCCTCCACACTTAAAATGAAGCTGCTGACAGCAAGAAGCTTTCTGAGCTGGATTGAGCAGAGGCCTTCCATATAGAGGAACAGGCTGGGGGAATACACATATCAGAATTTATGGGTTTTTAGTGCCTGCACACAGCTGCATGAGACTTCATTTCATGGTCCATCTGGACGCTGCTATTTGAGAACTGAATTCCCTCCCTTCCTGGTCCAGAGGGGATGGTCTGCAGACTGCAGTGATGAAGGAGGGGCCAGACCACTATAGTTGGTTAGTGGGTTTTGGCTGATGAAAAGGAAGAGGAAGTATGTGTCTTTGATTTTTTTCAGCTCTTGCTTCCTTTCTGCAGAGACCTGGGAGGTTGGTTTCCGTAATACATTTCAGATTAAACTCTGGGGACAAGTTTTGTCATCTGAGGGGAGGCTGTCTGTCTCTCCAAGGATCCAGACACGTACCATCATAGCTTTTCTGTTGGGTCATGACAACACCAGATCCAAGGGATGTATGATCTCCTGGGTTGTGATTTTTTTGTGTTGTTTCTTTTTTCTTTCAGAAGCCATCTGGGAAGCCAACTGGGGCCAACCAAGTTTAGAAGCTTTACTGGCTGAAATCAACATCATCAGGGATGACCTCTTCTTACCAGCTAATTCTCTGCTTCTGACAGCACACCAGACTCCAGGTACCTAAAGCAATGAGATTACCAATCCCTAAGCACTATGTAATGAGATAGTCACTTGCACAAGGGTTTGTATGCCAGAGGATGCTCACCACTGCTGGTGAAATACAAGATGAAATGTATTATCATTCGATACTTTCACTTTAACCTTGCCATTCACTGAATACACACAGTATAAATGAGTGGACTTAACACTGCAGGGAATATAAATTTGCAACAGTGGTAATGAGATTACCCCTAAAACAAAAGCCAGTAAAAATAACATACCATGCATCCAATTAGCCATTCAATCTAAGAGAGTTCACAAGACAGAGTTTATTGTTATCTTCATCAAGAGAACAGCATGTGGTCAAGAAGGCAACAGTCTGGGACAGAAGTGATAGAAAGAAGCAGTTTCTTTCCATTGTATAGCCATTTGTCCATAATTAGATAAAAGAAGTTTGAGCCATAGATGAAAGAAAGCTGTTGTAGAGTAAGATAAGAATTGGTAGGTGCTGTGATGCTGTTTGACTGGTCTTAGAGTGTTCTCTAGAAATGATTTTTCCTTAAAGAGGTGTGGGCTTCATCCAATGGGTTCTCACTGGCAGAAAGCCATGGCAGCTCCTTAGTTGTAATTCTGTCCTAACCAACATGATTCCCAGCATCATCATGTATAGAGGAGGCCCTAATCTAGATCTTGTGCCGGGTGGCTATCCAGATAGAAGTTAATAAACTAGTGTTGGTTGATGGTGTATGCTTTTGAGGACTTTGTTACTGTGACTCATTCTCCTAGAGTCCAGTCACTTTTGGTCACAGGGAACATTGAGCTGTTGGGCTGGGGTTTGGTCCTGTGCTACCCTGATCGAGGCCCTAGGGGCTGCCAAGCATACCTCTTTGACATCTTTCTATTTTGGTGATGCTTGTGAGACTCATAAATTCTGAGAATTGTTCAGGCTGGTCAATAAAGAAGTAATGTTTGTTCCAGAATAGGTTTCTCAATTTATAATCACATTGGACCATGTAGTTCTTTGAGGAAGGGGCCTGTACTATGTACTGTAGGATGTTCAGCAGCATCCCAAGCTCCTACACTCTAGATAGCAGTATCACCACCTCCTCAATACATAGAGTAGCTGTGACAACCGAAAATGTCCCAAGACATTGTCAAATGTCCTCTGAGGGGAAAAATTGTCCTGGGATTAAGAACCACCATTATTCTAGGAGCTCACCAGAGATGCGGGGCTTCCTGGAGGTACAGAAGATAATGCACTTGGGAGATGAGTGCTTCATGCTCCTTACCTTTGTTTTGGGAGGAGATGCAGACATATTTTAATTGTAGGGCACACTGTCAGTGGAAAGTGTGCAGAGCCACCTGGAGCTGGTGCATCCCTGCAAAGGGAAGGCTCAGAAGGAAAGATTTGAGAGTAGAGCTCTGCTGTGGGTTCATCACATCTCTGATGTCACAAACCTCTCTCACTGGCAGCTTCCCTGAATAAACTCTCTGCTGAGTCCTGTGTTCTGGACAAGTGACCCCACTCAGGCACTGTGTAATCACTTAGAAAATGGAGCTATATGGCAGAGTCAGTGAAAAAGAGCCCATCCAGACTTGATCAGATTTATGAAGAAGGCACTCAGTGAAACTTGCCTGGTTTTCTGCTCTTGTGTACTATGACAGGGCTCAGAGTGAAGGGGTATCTCAAAGGTCACATAGAGCAGCACTTGTCAAATTCATCAGGTATCTTAATTTTTTTTTTTTTTTGGTACCAGGGGTCAAACTCAGGTCCTTGCACTTATCATCAGGTATCTTATAAAATGAGATTTTGGTTCTATAGGTCTGATATGGCTTTCAAGCTTATGCAGATCCAACAGCTACCAAGTAGTGTCGCTGCTGCTGTCTTGGGTCATACCTTGGCAAGTAAGGACCTAGGCCACGTGTCTGCAAACTATGGCCCATGGGCCAAACTGAGACTATTGCCTATTTTGCACATAAAGCTTTTTATTTTAGTACAGTCACACTCTTCCATTGACACATCTGTGGTTGCTTTTGTACTATGGGACAAAGTTGAATAGCTGTGAGAAAGACTGACTCTCAAAGCCTGAAATATTTGCTTTCAGTCCTTTCTGGAAAAGGTGTGCCAACTTGTGTTCTCTGGTGACTTGTACCATATGGACCATGGAGGCTGTTCCACAGAGGTTGTCCTCTCACCTGGGCCATTCCAAGGTTGTCTGTTTTCAGCCTTGGCCTACCTTCATTGTCCCTCTTCCTCTTGCTTGGGGCACCTGCAATCCTGTCTGTTGACTTGGGACCACGGTAGCCCTGCAGGAAAAGCCTGCACCACAGTAAGGCTCGAGCTTGCATGTGCTCCCCTAAGAGCCCCGAGAACATGCTGTGGCACCCACGCAGAGCCATAGTCAGCCTGGTATCTTTTTAGTCTCCAGGGTGGCTCCACCTCAGCCCTGTCAGAAATGCCTTCTGAGGCTTAGGAATATAGGCCTCATGCCTGATTGCTCTTTTCATCCAGCCAGCCAGCCTCTCGAGACCTTCCTTTCATTGAGCATCATACGAGGTGCTTGGGGAACGAGGATTTGTAAGATGCTTCTATGGTTTGGGAGACAAATGTGTTAACTGCATATTGTAATTGCAGTATTATAGGTACAATATTAGAAGATGATTTGGATATTTGTTAGCTAAAGAAAGACATCTGCAGGGTTCAGAGGGAGAACTTTGCTTTAGTAGCTTTTTTGTTTTCTAATTATGGAGACTCTTTATATACTCAGCTCTGTTCTGCTGTTTTTCTTTCATACAAATGTTAAAGCAACTCCACGACTTATGAAGCCTCCCCAATTTTCACCAGAACAAATTATCTCAGTAAATTCATTAAGTTGTATGATATCACTTATCAAATTAAAAATACATTAAAAATGACTTAAAGGAATTCTCTGAGACAGAATAAGTGGAGTTATACTAATTAAAAATTGACTTAATATGTTCACTGAGAAATTAGAGTTTCAAATTAACTTCTGAATACCATTAGATATTATAAAAATTATTTTAAAAATCCCCAAACAGAACATTTAAACAAAATTTTGTCAAGTAAGCCATACTAGTTCTTTCACAAGTTACAGGCAAATAAAACAGCATTCTGAATAAATGAGTTCAGTGTAAACATAGGTTTTTCATAATATATTCGTTTTCTGGTTTTGTATCAAAATATCGACTGTTTGGAATAATCTTTTGTATTAGTACTTCCTTTTTCAATAGACAAAGAAACATACAAATTCACACCAACAGTGAGTATTTCTATAGTTCTCTTATGTGTAAAGTTTATCATTAGATTGTAATGTTTGTATATTTCAGTTAATGCAAATGAATACCAAAGTTTCTCTATGCTTTGTAGGCTGTGGAAAATAATTAGAAGGTAAAGTTTTATAAACTGTAATTCAGGTTCAAAAATCTAGGGCTTACCATAATACTCCTTTAATCATTACAATTTCCTAGTAATTACAAAAGTATGAGAAATAAATAAAAATATAATTTACAAGAATAAGCCCAGCTTGGTGACACACACCTATTATCCCAATACATTGGGAGGCTGAGGTAGGAGGACCAAAATTCCAGCCTTGGCAACTTAGTAATTTAGTGAAATCCTGCCTAAAAATAACAACACAAAAGCCCTGGGTTCAATCCCCAGTACCAGAAATAAATAAATAAGCTCAAGAAAGTATTTAAAAAACCTACTGTATATTCTTTGAAAAAAACTTTAAAACTTGTCAGGAAGCAATCTTATTCCGCTGATACAGTGATCTATTTGAGAGTTGTTCTTCAGTTTTCAAAAGTGAAGCTATTTAAAAAACATGGATCCATTTTAATTTATATCCTTTCAAGGAGGCATTACCTATGTTATTTTCTGACAATGATGAGAATTGATTTCTTTTGACCACATCAATTACTGATGTCTAGCACATTTTGAGCAAGTTAGATTATGCCACATTTCCTGTATTTGTAAGGTTTCTCTCATATATTATAATCATACATACATTAAAAGTTTTGCTGATTTCTGTAGATTTATAAAAGTTTTATCCAATTAAAATATTTTTAGGTTCTGAGTTCTACAATTTAAACTGTATTATTTTGAATAAGGACTAAACTTCCACTAAAGGCTTTACCACATTCTTTAAATTTCTAGGGTTCTCTCCAGTTAACTCTCTGATGTAAGGTGGTAGCTTATTTTTAATCATGAATTTTTATTACATTTTACACAAATATACTTTCCATCTATTGATGAATGTTTTTCTATTAGTATATAAATGTGTTATATTTTATACTTATTTATTATCCAAAGTTTCAATAGAAGATAACATCTTAGAATTAAACGTTTATGTGATAGGGTTTAGAATTTTACTAACTTCAATTTTAAATTTTTTTTTTTTTTTTTGAGACAGGGTCTTGGTATGTATTCCAGGCTGGCCTTGAACTCACAATGTGGCCCGGGCTGGCCTCAAACTCAAGGCAGTCTTCCTGCCTCAGCTTTCCAAGTGCTGGGATTATAGGCATGCCAGGCTACCTAATACCACTAAAAGATAGCTCTGCTACCATTCCCATTAACTAAAAACTAAAATTTGATTGCAGGATTCTCTAAATGAAGTAATCTTCAAAATTTACTACTGTACCTCACCAATACTTTATTACTGTTATTAATTTTTAAAATTGTGATAAGATATACATGAAATTATTTACCATCTTAGCTTATTTTTAAGTGTACAATTCAATGGTATTAAATACACATACACTGTTGTGCAGTCATCACCACCATTCATCTCGATTTTGTAAAATGGAAACTTTGGACCCTGTGCCCATTAAACAGTAACTTGCCCTACCCCACTTCCCCCAACCCTTGACAACCACTGCTCTACTTTCTGTAGAACAGGTGCTTTACACATGTGGAATCAGACAGTCTTTGTCCTTTTGTGGCAGGATCATTTCTCTTAGTATAATATGTGTCAGAATTTCCTTCATTTTTAAGGCTGTCCCTTATGAGTGTGCCACATTTTGTTTGTCTATCTGTTGATGAACACTAGGATTGCTAACACCTTTGGCAGATATCACCAAAAAATGTATACACTCTTCAGGAAAAGAAAAACATGTATAAATATTTTAATACTAAATTTTTTTGAGATATCATGAAATTAATACAAATTACCTTTAGCCTCTGTAATTACAAGAGGTGCTGAAAGTGGTGACCACTAGCTTCCAGATATTTATTAGTAGAGTGAATGGCTACTTGGGTAACCTTGGTCATTGAGACTGCTGCACGTGCATTTTCAGTTTTTTCTCTAAGGGCCTGCAGTGTAGTGGGCTTTATGTGATATATGACATCCTGTAGGGTCCTTCATGCAAGGGTAACACTATCTGTTGAAAAAACATCATATTATTTTTCTTTTCCTGAAGTGTGTATACATTTTTTGGTGGAGTCTGTATATATCCAGAAATAGAATTGCCAGGTCATGATGATAATTGTATTTTAAATTTTTTGAGAAACTACTATACTATTTTCCCTAACAGTTACACAGTGCAACAACAGTGCATCAACAGTGCAAAGTATTCCATTTTCTCTATATCCTCTCCATTATTTGTTATTTTCTGGTTTTTTTGGGGGGGAGGGGGTACCGGGGATTGAACTCAGGTCCTTGTGCTTGCGAGGCAGGCACTGGAGCTAAATCCCTGGCCCCCCTTTTCTTTTTTTTTTTGGTTTTGATAGAAGCCATCCTAAAGGTGATATCTGATTACAGTTTTGATTTGGGTCTCTTTCTTAGTGATGCTGTGTATTTTTTCATGTAACTATTTCTGTATCTTTGGAGAAATGTCTGTTCAAGCCCTTTGGCCATTTTTGGTTTGGTTTGTTTGGTTTTGGTTGTTGCTGAGTCATAGGAGTTCTTTAGATAGTCTGGATATTAAGCCCCTATCAAATATATAATTTACAAATATTTTCTCCTATTTGGTGGATTGCCTTTTCATTCTGTTTTGTTGTTTGATGGACAGAAGTTTTAAATATTAATAGAGTCCATTTTGTCTACTTTTACCTTGTTGCCTGTGCTTTTGGTGTTGTTTCCAAGAAACCAGTTTTGAATTCAATGTCATAAAGCTCTTCCTTGTTTTCTTCTAAGAGTTTTTATAAGAATTTTAAGTTCTGTATTTAGGTCATTGATCCAGTTTTAGTTAATGTTTTATGCAGTGCAAGGTTAAGGGTCCAACTTTATTCTTTCCATACAGACATCCAGTTTTCCTAGTGCTGTCTATTGAAAAGATAACTTCTCCATTGTGTGGTCTTGGCACCGTTGTTGAAAATTATTTGAACATATATGTAATGGTTTATTTTTGGACCTCTATTTCATTGTTTTATGGCAGCCACACACTGTTTTGATTATTGTAGCATTGTAAAAATTTTGAAATAAAAAACAAGACTTCAAACTTTATTATTTTTTTCCAAGAATTTCATGATGGTTTTGGCTATTTGAGATCTCTTGAGATTACATATAAATGTTAGCATGCATTTTTCTATTTCTGTGAAAAAATACTGGGATTTTGACATTTTCTTAGAACTTTTACCAAACAGATAGGGAAGAGGTACATTTTAGGTAAAAGAAAGAGCATAGCCAAATACATGAAAAGATAAAAGAGCGTAGGGCACTTGGAGGGCTAAAAGTAATGTGACATTATTGGAGCATTATGCAAATTTGTATCTCTGTGTCCATATGTGAGTGAGTTGGGCAGCTTATAAATTAAGAGCTAAAGCAAGGGTCAGATATTATGGAAGTGAATGTATGTTGTGTTAAGAAATTAAATGGAGATTATTTGAAAGGTTGGGCTGTACAGTGAAGTGAGCAGAGTTGTACTTGTAGAAAGATGACCCTGTTGGTAACAGCGGGTGTTAAACTGAGCAGAAAGAAGGCGTCAGCAAAAGGAGAAATAGGAGAGTGTGGTAAGACTCCCAGAAAAGCAGTGAGAACACATGCACTGTGGCAGCACTGGTAGGGATAGGTAGGAGGGAATGAGTCTGAGATAGCCAGACATATACCAGTGGTTTCATTCTCTTTTTGGGTCCTAGAGTCCTCAGACCTGCTGAACACTCAGGGCGGTAGCCCTAACTATTCACCTGTGTCATCCAACTATCACTTGTTAGGAATTCAAATGGCTGTTGAAGGAGACCTTGTGTGTTGGCTCAGAGGCTCAGGGAACCCTCAACAACAGCTAAAACCTTCTCAGAGCCCCCAAAGCTTCCATTCTCTTCCTGCCACTCTCAGGGCCTCTGATTGCTCCACGAATCTTGTGGTTATTTCTGTCTCACTTGTGAGTTGGTCTGTTTTTCCTTGTTTTGGTCTTTCCTGAAGCCTGCTGAAATTTTCTAGAATGAGAATTGTCTTTTCTTTTATAACCCATTCCTTCTGGCTTGTGGGATTACAGGTCTCCAGGCCCTCTAAATATGACCCACATTACTACTGTCTGTGATCCATTAGAGGCCCAAGTGTCCTGCCCAAGCATTGGAGCCTTCTGTTCTAGTCACCCTGTGGCTCAGTTCCCCGCCCTCAGCTCATGGGCAGCAGTGAATGTGAGTTATCGAGGTCTTGGCCACTTCTCTTGCTCCATCCTTACAAGCTCTCTGTGAAGCCTCTGCTAAGAGAACTGTGTATGATGATGCTGGGTCTGAGGAAACTACTAGTAAAGGAAAGCACTGCTCTAGCTAGAGGCCACACATCTGGACACTGAGGTCCCCATCCCTGTTCTGACCCTGGAGGGGCAGCTCTGTCCGTGGGTGGTCTGCGCAGGGTAGAGAGGAGACCGGCCAATCACAGTTACAGGTGGAATCACAGAGCTTAGAGCACAAAGCAGGCTGAGGTCTCAAATTTGAATAGGTATTTTAGAACTCAACCACTTTTGCAGTTTGTGGATAGCCAGCCCTGACCTATTGCCAAGGGAGCAAATTTTTGACCTGGACAATGAGGCAAACCGGTCAAGGTATATGAGTGTTGGCAGTGCAGGCTCCAGGGAAATCAGAACAGGAGAGCAGTGAACTGTGGGTTGGGGTTAAAGAGCATTGATTGAGGAGATGATGATCGGAACCCGATGGACTGTCCCTCAGAGGTGAACCAGGGAGAATGCAAAAAAGAGTACCAGGGAAGGTGAGGGAGAGTGTGAAAATGTGAAGATGGAAGGAGATTGGGTAAAGAAAGGAGAAGGGACAGGCAAAACAGGTGTAAGGAATTGCTGCTTCTTTCAAAACAAGATCACTGGAAGAAAGAGAACAAGCCCCCAGATCTTTATGGCTCTCTGGCTAAGAAAGGTGCTAATACTTAAGAGACAGGGGATATTGCTCAGGAATAGAGCACTTCATGTCTCTTGGATCTTGAGCCTACAAGGCTTCAGGAAAGCAGAATGTGTCTCATCATTCACTTTATGTTTCCAAACAGAAGAGGGAGAGTGCCACATCGATTCAGCTGAGCGTCTCCCAGGAGTCCTCCTCTGGATGCCACATGAAGCTGCCCCTCAGCCTCAGCACAGACCCAGTGATCGTGGAGCACGCAGAGGCAGAGATGAATTTCCTCACCAGCATCCTTGCCACCTATTCCTTTGTCTCTAGTAGGTGCCTGGGCTTGTCTGGGTCAGGGCTGAGACCTGAGGGCAAATCTGTAGTCTTGAACTGGGAGACAAACACTGTGTAATCCTACCAAGGGTTCTGCTCTGTGGAGCTTTGGAATGAAAGGTCTTCTGAGAAGGAGTTAAGGTTGGCATTCTCTAATTTGGTAGATAAAGAGTTTCAAGAGCTTTACCATGCTTGAAATTTTGGGTTTCCTTCCAGCACCAATGAGTGAGTGAAGTAACTGGGGGTACTGTTGGTTTCTGTCACGATACATTTATTCTGAGGAGGGAAGGGACTGACGGAGAACCTCAGCCTGGCTACTTCTGCACTGTTCTCAACTCCACATAGAGAGAGAGAGAGAGAGAGAGAGAGTGTGTGTGTGTGTGTGTGTGTGTGTGTGTATACTCATGTTCTGTGTTTAGGGGCTGTCTGAGGTGTTTGGGAGAAAGAGAGACAAAAAGCATGAGAGTCTGAGAGAGTTTGATGTTTGCCCCTTCCTTGGTTCAAAGTTGTGCACTTTAGGAAGTTGGCTGACTTTCTCCTCAAGATCATTTTTGAAGACAGACATGATTTATATAAAAAGAGGCATTTAAAAATATATGGAAATGCTCCATGGTTTGAATTACCAGACTGCTTCTGTGATACTTGATTGAATTTTTAATGTTTTGGTAGTTTGCTTTTGTTTTGCCTGATGTTTCTGGATGTCATATGTAAAGGAAGGCACTGAGTTCTGATTAGATTTTCTTCAGGCAAGGACTGTCTTTACTTTCTGATACTTTTGGCAGGGTTCATATGTGGGTGACATATGAAAAAAATGTAACATTTTTATCAATACAGTGGCAAATCTGAGCCAACAATGAGGGGAAAGAAAGCTCGTGCTTTCTCTTTTTGAGAGGATCTTGGATGACTGCAGCCTCACTGCAGAAAGGGGAACCTCCCTCAGGTTCACATGTACCTCACCCAGCATTCTGCCTTCTTCACTCAGTGAAGCCCAGGCTACTGGCCAGCCCATCCACTAAAATAAGTCCAGTACCTGGTGCCTCCTTCCCTGGGGAGCCACACATCACAGGTGTGTTTCATTTTTGCTCTTTCTGTGAGGCTGTATTGGGGAGAAAGGACACAGAAGCAGGAATAGAGATATTTGAAACTCTGGCATCATGTTTTCATAAACAATTTGATGATACTGTCCCACAGTGAACGCATCACAAAATGAAGTAGAGGACAGAGAGGGTCTGGAGTTTCCAAGGTTCCTAAGGACACCTGAAATTCAAGTGTTGCAAGAATATGTCTCTGGTAACATCAAACAGAGTACTGGACTTTGGAGCTCTACTGTGCACAGGTACCTGGCAGTTTTCCACTTAGGGTATCATGACCCTGAATTGTGACCACTGAATGTGGTAACTCATTGAATGGTTTGGTGTTTATCATCTTGTGACCTTGTCAAGTCTGAAAGTGTACAGCGCGCTATTTCACTGTCCCCCCAGCTTTCCTTCTTTCGACCCCACACTCTGGAACTAAATACTGCATGGGATCCAGGAAGCAATGCTTCTTTGAAGTAGGTATGGGCTAAGAATAAAGGATAATGCAAGGAAGTGGAAAGTAGAGTGGCTAAAATAAGATTTGTCAGTAAATAGACTTGATGGAAAATTGATTCTGAGATGAGGAATGCTCCTGAAAAAAAAGAAAATGCATAAAGAAATTTTAAAATATGAAAGTGAACATAATAGATGCAAATAATCATTTTTTAAAGAAGAAAATACAATAAATGGAGTGGAAACAATGATGGAAATATGATAGGAGAAAATTGTGGAAAATACCCCAATCTTTAGCTCCCTCATGTTCTCTTAGTGCTGTATGGTCTTTTTCATTAGTCAGAGGCCTCTGTCCCCTCCTATTCTGCTCCCCCCTCCAGTGTGCCTGTTATATGATGGTTAATCTTGAGTGCCAACTTGACTGGATTGAGAGATGCCTGGAAAACTGGTAAGAGCACACTTCTGGGTATGCCCATAAACAGTTGACATGTGGGTCAGTGAACTAAATGGGGAAAGATCTTCCCTGAAGGTGGGCAGCATCATCCCATAGACAGAGAGCAAAGAGAAGGAAAAGAAAGGTGGAAGAAGAGGTAAGCTTGTGCACGGGCACACTCCATTCTCCTTGAACAGGTGCTTTTCTCACTGCTGCCACTGCCCATGGACATCAGACTGTAGATTCTTCAGCCTTTGTATATAGACTTGCAGCAACTCTATAGGGGGCTTCCACACTATCAGCTTTGCACCAGTACTACATCGTTATCAGTCCATCTGTCCCTCTTGTTCTGAGGCTTCCAGATTCTTGCACTGAGCATATATACTGGTTTCCACTGTTCTCCAGGATGCACATGGTAATTCAGACTCTGATTGTGTAATAATAAATGTATTTAATAAATTGTTTCATAATTATATACATAATGTGTATGATTATATATACCAAATTTACTAATACATACATCTGCCTTATTCCTCTGTCCAGCTTCTGATTAAGTCAATAGATGAAACCCTAACTCTGAGTAAATCTTACTTATTTTGTGTGTGTGTGTTTGTGTGTGTGTGTGTATATGTGTACACATGTGCATACATAGGTGTATTCTGTGTTTGGGAGCTATGTGAGATGTTTGGGAGAGAGGGAGAAAGAAAACATGGGAGTCTAGGAGAGTCTGATGTTGGCCCTTCCTTGTTTCATAGCTGTACTCTTTAGGAAGATGGCTGGCTTTCTCTTCAAGGTCATTTCGGGAGACCAGGTGCTATTTATAGGAAAGCAACGATTTAAAAGGCAAAAGATTTATGCGATCTGAAGAGAAACCAGAGTATAAGGAACCATTTAAAAACACATTGAAATGCTCCATATTTTGAATGACTGAACTGCTTCTGTGTTTCTTGAGTGAGTTTTAAAATTTTTATAGTTTGCTTTTGTTTCATTTGCCCGATGTTTTTGGATGTAGTATGAAAAGAAAGGGACTGAGGTTTTGATTAGATTTCATTTTGACAAGGGCTGGTTTTACTTTCTAATTCTCTAGACAAGGTTGATACGTGGTGACCTAAGTGGTGACCCATTCTACCTCTTGGTAACCAAGTTACCAAGTGCTGGGGCAATTTGCAAATTGAAGCCAATAGAAATCAAGGTCTCTAATCTCATGCTTTTGTTTTTCTGTTTGTCTTTAGGTACATCTTGTTTCTATTCTTCATAATAGCTTCAAACCTCAACTATTCCAATAATGTTAAAAAAAAAATCTACTTAACAAAATGCTCACTAAAAATAAATGACAAGTGATAAACTTTTTTTATTTTTAAGAAACAATTACAAAATTAATGATTATTAGTGTTTGTAACATATAAAGAGCTCTTACAAATCAGTAAGTGACCCAAAGGAAAAAATGACAAAGGGTAAGAAGTAGCAGTTTGCAAAAGGAAAAATACAAATTGCCAATAAAACATTTAACAGTTTTAATTCCACCAAATAAATCCAAACTGGAAACAACAGTGAAATTCACATTTTTATTTTGTAAAACTCTTAAAGATCTGAGTGATTAGGTATATAAGTAACCTCAGTTTTGGAGAAATGTGGAAATTTGAGTACTTGCACACAATGCTGATTGAATTGTAAATTGCTGTAACCACTCTAAAGAATGATTTGGCAATATCTATCAAAAGCCTTGAAAGGACTGAGATGTGCTAGGTACATGTACCAACTCCCCACAAGGAATGTAATTATTATGTAATGCAAACATGTAGTAATAAAAATAAAAACTGACAAAAAAAGATATCATTTATTTAGTCAGTAGTACCATGGCTAGGAATTTCTTCTAAGAAAATAATTAAAGATCTGAGCACAAATACTGCTATGAGGACAATTAACCTCAGAATTGTTTATATAATGAAAAATAAAAAGTAAATATTAATTGAAATAGATGAGTATGATGTGCTATTAAATGAATAAAACCAATTACCACAGAACACCTGCAGTATAATCCCATTATTTGTGTATATTCATATATAAAGTAACCATATTTTATTGTGATTTTTATCTGAGTGCTGATTATATGGGTTTGTATCTGTGTATTTTTTGTTTCCTTTTGCTTAGCTGTATTTTAAATATTCTATAACTCATCAGTGTTACTTTGTAATAACAGATGCTATTTTATTAGAATATTAATTTTCGTTTAAATCATACATGAGACAGTTGCCATTCCTTTACATTTTATGGCTCCCTGATCTGTGTAAGTATCCTGAAAATAAACCATTTGGATGTACTATAGCATTCCAAATTCAACCTGCCCTAGAATGGATTATTGTCTTCTTTAAATATGCTCTTTGTTTTATGTGCCTTTCTAGAGCATCACGTAATCCAGAAGATGATTTTTAACCCTCGATTCATGGTTAGATATATGGTTAGAAGTCAGTCCACTTCCCTTGTGGTTCCTCAGTTGCATTCCTTCTTTGTTCCCACCTCCACTGACTTGGTTCAAATCCTACATGCTTTTGTCTGCTTGTCCTAATGGCACACATGCCTCATGACTCCAGTCTTGGTTTATAGTTTGTATTTTGTAGCAAAATGTTCTTTCCACACTAAAGGTGTGATGATGCAATCCTTTTCACTTTTTAGAATCCCTCAGTGGATCCTCACGATCTCTGGGATAAAATCCAAGCACTTTTGTATGGCTTAATTGCTAAGATTATTTTCAGCTACAAATAATAGAAAAACTTCAACTCAGTGCCCTAAACACATAGGATTTATCTCACCCACCCATATTCTTCCCATATGTGTTTCTTCTGTCTTAGCATTTGGATTGGAGAAATTAATGTTTCTTGTTTTAACTATTTGCAAGCAACCCATTGGAATTAGAATATAATACTTTATAATGAAGGCAGTAATCTTACTAATAATTACCTTATTAATAACTTTTAATAGAGTTGTTAGAAAGGGTAAATGGAAGAATTTCTCATTTTAGTTTAATATTTGAATATTTAAGTGCTTGCTTCAGCAGGACATATACTAAAATTGAATATTTAAGATGTTTGTGTGGTTCACTCTTCTATTTCCTTTAGGTTTTTCTTTTAAAATATCATCTTCAGTAAGTTTTATGTTGGTGTTTCTATCTACCATCACTCTCCAACAAACATTTGATAATTCACATCCACCCTTTTATTTCTCCTATCTTCTTATTGTCATTTTATCATCATCTACTATACTATATATTTTGTTTATTGTTTATTTCCTCTAATATAGTATAAACAAACTCTCAGGACCAGAGAAGTTATTGTTTCTTTGGTAACTGCTATATCCTTAACATGTAGAATGGTGCTTGCAAGCTATCAGATGCTCAGTAAATCAGGAAATGAACATAGTTCAATAATCAAACAATATAAAAAGACATATAGCAAGTAGTCTAATCCTAGAGCTGCCCCCTCCATCTAGACCCTAATCTTGAGCTATTACTGGGATTCAGTGAATCCATCCAGAGTTCTTTATGCTGACATAGGAAAATATGAGCATCCAGTCACTTTCTACCCTATTTTGTACACAGGTAGTGTGTCAAACATTGCTTTCTTGGGTTGCTTTTTTTTTTTTTACTGAACAGTACATCATGGAGACAGATGAGTATACAGAGACCTTCATTCTTTTAGACAGCAACATATTGTTCCCTTGTACAAATGGACCATCTATAGTTTAGCCAGCACACTACTGATGGCCAGTAGTTCAAATCTGCTAAAATAGAGCAACATACAGAGCAGCAATAAATAACTATGACATACAAGTTCAAGTACTTTTGCAAAATATATTTCCAAAAGTAGAATTGCTGGAATAAAATAAATGTAAATTATTACAAAAATCATTGCCAAATTGCCATTTAAAGAGTTTTACCAATTTACTCTTCAAAAGATGTATAAGAAGCCCCTCTATCTGTGTTTTCAAACTTTTAGAATTTTGGTAATATGATAGATAAAAAATACTATCTCACTGTGATTTAATTTATGTTTCTGTTGGTCAGGAGTCAGCAAACTTTTTCTATAAAAACCTGGAAAATAAATATTTTCAGATTTACAGGCCAGTCTCTGCTATAACAATTCAGCTCAGTGTTTTATCACAAAAGCAGACATAGGCAATATGTAGGACATGGCTATGTTTGCATAAAACTTTTTTATGGAAAGGGAACTTGCCAGATTTGGCTTGTGAACCATAGTGTACTAATGCCTGTTAAAACTCCTAAAGGTGAGTATGTTTTCATATCTCAAAGAGCTCTTTTTATTTCTTTTCCTGTGAACTGTTCATATCTTTTATCTATTTTCTTTATTGGTTGTCAGTTTTTTTCTTGATGGTCTTTCTGAGTGTTCTTTATATATTGGCCCATTGTGCCTATTAGTACAAATATTTTTTATATGTCTTTTAATTTTGCTTACAGTAATTTTTTCAATGCAGAAGTTTTGGGTGTATATTATATATATATATATATATATATATATATATTTATTTATATATACTTTTTTTCATTTAACCAATATTCCTTGAATGTGTAACTGCAAGTACTATAATCTGTGCTGACTACTGCTATATAGTAATTGGCTGGAGTTTAAATCACTTCTCCTTTGAGCTTAGTATGAAGTCTGTGTTCTTTCAGCAGTGAGGAGACAGCCCTCCATAACTCAATTGATTCTAGTCATAAACTAGGACATTTGAGAAAATATTGCAGTTTCTAGTTTTTGTTATTCCCCTTTATACTGTAAATCCTGTGGGCACTGAGGACCATTGTGTCCATCACTCCTAAGATTGCCCAAGGCATTATAAACTCACAGTAAGATTCATGGAATAAAGTAACCTTTTATTGAACTACAATTTGTGAAAAATTCTTAATGGTTGGAATATTTCCTGCTAGAAACAGTTTGATGAAAGAGAATTAGATGAAAGTACTACTGTCATACATGGCTAATGGAAAGAAAATCAACGTACCACTATTGAAAGACCTCCTGGCAATGAGTGTTAAGAGTTATAATGTGGCAGAGATTCCTTTATGAGAAGACATTGTAAGGCAGTAAACAACAAACAAGCAAAAAAGAAAGTAGCATTAAACACGAAAATATTCCTTCCTAGCTCCCAGGAGTCCCAGAGTGTGTTAGTGAGCTTTCCATTACTGTTGCAAAATACCTGACATAATAAACTTAAAGGGTAGAAAGGTTGATTTTGGCTCACAGTTTCAAAGTTTCAGTGTATGGTTGCCTGTTGTTTTGGACTTATGGCAGCATAGTATAAAATGGCTGGAGAACATGACAAATGCCTGTTCACTTCACGGTGGCCTCGAAGCAAAAAAGAGAGGAAGGGCCTGAGATTCCAGCGACCCCTTCAAGGGCATGTACTCATTGACCTAACTTTCTTCCACTAGGCTCCACCTCTTAAACATTCCACCAGCTCCCAAAAGGCCCACAGACTGGAGCCTTTGGGGAACATTCATACAAACCACGCCACAGGAGAAGTATAAAACTACAGGAACTTCCCAGTGTAGGGGGGAAAAGTGAATGAGTGGAGTAGGGTGAGGACTAGGAAAATGGAAGCTTCCCTGTGCAGTGCTTATTGCTTAGGAGGTGGAGAGGAGAAGATGAAAGGGGGGAATAGAGCTGGCCTGGTGGGAACAGACATTCTCTAATTCTTCCTGCGGAAGGACAAGTCAGGATGGAAGAAGGAGGGAAGCTTCCTCCAGCATTTCAGAGAGTATAGAAGTGTTATTGGGAGTTTTCCAGTTCCCATGGAGTGGGGCATTAACCCTTATGAATTCAGAGAAGGCATTATGCTGAGCACTCTGATTCTGCACAAGCCCCACTGTTGTCTTAAAAGCCCATTTAAAGACTTTATCCCTTCCACTCAATGGATTGTAAGCTTTGAGGCTTCCAAGAGAGCCCAAGCAGAGAAAATGTTACCTTTGCATGGAGATCTGCTGACCTCAGCTGGGCTGGTTGGTGCCATCTTCTCCTGAAAAGCCTACTGAGCATGATCTGACCTCCAGGGGTACAAATGAAATTAGCCCCAGGACCTCCACATAAGGCCTCTTCCTGCCCATGAAAACAATGACCCTTCAGGAAACAAGATATAGCAATACATTTATTTTTATTTATTAAGTGAAAACAAATGACAATAGCCCTCCCTGCTCTGCTTCCTGGGTAATTAACAGCTGTCTGGATCTGGTCAAGACCAGGGTTGATCACTGGCCACGAGGAAGTGACCTTAAGTGGGAAGTATTAAAGGAGAGAAAAAACAACCACAGGGGAGCTGCAGTTCTGTTTTCTTCATGATGAAGAAGAAAAAATGATGATGAAGCTTGATACAAATGATATTATCTATGAAAATCTGCCCTGAGGCTCCAGCTTGGGATCCAGTAAAGCCCAGTAAACTCCCTTTCCCTGTCTGCTTTTCTTACTAGACTTCTCCGAAATTATGTCTTGGATGGCTAGGTAAGAGAGGACATGTTCTGATCTGGAATCCAGGATGGAATAAACTAGTTAGAATAGGATGAGAATAACAGTTTCCAAAACAGAGTTCAGAAACTGTCTTCAAAGTTAGGCCTATGTAAAAAGTGAGGTGAGGCTGGGATGCAAACATTAGGATGATTTGTTTTACTACCTTTAGTGTCAAGTATAGTTTTCTGTCTTTGTGAAAACATGGACATATCTCAGCTCTATCATTTAAACAAGAATAACAGTTTTTACCTCCTCTCCTGAATTGTGGTAATAGTTAAAAGTATTTGACTAGCACAGAGTGTTATCTTGGATCTATCTATCTGTCTATCTATCTATCTATCTATCTACATTCTTAGGTCTCAGTGTTGAGGAATGTGGGTGGGCATGAAGACATTCCACTTGTTATGGCTTGTTATGGGCTTAGTAAGTGTCTTAGTTACTTTGCCCATTGCTAAGACAAAATACCCGACACCCAAAGTTAAATTGAGGAAAGGTGCACTTAGCTTACACTTTGTAGAGGTTTTGGTTCATAGTTGACTGGCTCCAAGGCAGGGTGGCATGGCAGACAGGCATTGCAGAGAAAACACAGTTCATGGTGGGCAGAAGGTGGCAAAGTGAGCAAGAGACCTTAGCAGCTTCTTTCTCCCCCTTTTACATTCTATCTACTAATCAGTGGACTGATTTAGTAACCACACACCCTCAATCCCAGGATCACACACTCTAGATCCAGCCACCTCTGAAAAAGCCCCACCCGTGACTGCCTGAGGCTTTTGGGGGATATCTAGTCATAAGCCATAACAGTAAGTAAAGGAATTGCTCAGACTTCTGCA